AAATTAGAGGGTGAAATAAACGACATCAATCGGGACTCTTACGTAATAGTTTATATTCAATATATTTAAAAATGTTTGTAATGATCACTTTAAACGACTTGATATAATTATATTACAGATTGCAGCTGTACAATATTTGCTCCAGGGGGAGTTTGGCAAAAACTTCGAAAAGGTCTTCTCAAGAAGCTTTTGTCTTCAATATAATATATATGGAATCGCAGGAAAAAAGTGCCTTAAGGACTTTTCCGAGGTGTTTACCGTTTTAAAAAGTAAGACAAATTAAGATTTACACTAAATTGTCACAATAAATTATATTCCGAATTCATGTTCACAGAAGCCATTGGGAAAACCTCGGTCGATGCAGAAGCCGAAATACGGAAGGCTTTCCAAGTCGTCAAAAAACGGCACTTCCGCATGGTTTCTTTTGCAAAATCTTAAATGGATGCACTTCGAAATCTATTAGTTTTGAATAGTATTTAACTTATTTCAATTAATGCATTTTTCTCATTACTTACTTACTTTTTACTATTATTAATTCCTCAATTCTTAAAAGTAATTCAAAGCTTTATTTATTTTCATTAACAATTAACTTCAAAGTTTATTACTTTAAATTTCCTAAAATGAATTATTAATGTTTAGTTTTTTCATTTAATATGTACAATTTTTTCAAATTAAATAATTCATTAATTTTGAATTACACAAGTTCATGTTTTTAAAACTAAACTAGCTTTTCATCATATTAATAAATTAATTTTATTTAATTATTAAGTTTAAAAATTATCATTAATTTCTAAAATTTATTTTTTAAACATTCAATTAAATCAAATGAAATCTTTATTATTACTATTATTAATATTATTATAACTATTAAATTGTAAGGAACGCATAATATAACAATACAATTTTAACTAACCTAAACGAGAATAAAAATATTATTATAAATATAAAATAATAAATTAATTTTATAAACTATTTTACAATCATTTAATTTAATCATTAAATTGAATCATATAATTTAATCATTAAATTGAATCATATTAAATGTTAATGAACAAATAATATTTATTAATTAATAATTAATTTAAAGATTAATGAATACATGATATAAGTGTAATATATCTAATTTAATTAATATAAATATAAACATTAATATAAGTATACATATAAATACAACTTTAAATATAAATTCTAACATGAATATAAAATATATACAACAAAAATTTAAATTTATCATAATGTAATAAATATGAATTAAATTAAACTATATCAATAATAACATGGAACAAATTTGAATAACTAATTACTTACATAAGTTTAAAAACAGAAACTTTAAAGTTTTAATAAAGTTAGATATAGTGAAATAAATGGATTAAAAGTAATGGCATACAAATTAATTCAAAGTATTTCTGATATTTTAAGTAAGTAGTTTATACTTTTAAAATTAAATTAAAATCTTTTTAAACCTTTTTTGTTAAAAATCAGTGAATAAAAATTATTTAGTTATTTAATAAACATTACACATTATAGTTAAAAAATAAATCAAAAAAATTTGTTGATATGAAACATACTTTATAAATTATTTAATTTTGTATGAGTTTTATGGTTTTCGGAAAAAATTTTATATTGTCTCTTGTTTTTACTTCGAAGCATCAATAAGGATAAGAAGTAGTCGGGTGTAAGCAAATCGTTGC